TTGCGGAGCACAGGCTCCGGACGCGCAGGCCCAGCGGCCACGGCTCACGGGCCCAGCCGCTCCGCGCGGCATGCGGGATCCTCCCGAAACGGGGCACGAACCCGCGTCCCCCGCACCGGCAGGCGGACTCCCAAGCACTGCGCCACCAGGGAAGCCCAACTTTCATTTTTTAAACACTCAAATTCCATTTGGGTCCTGGGCATGCTTCTGCCACATGTCTTCCGGAGAAGCACAGCATTTGCCTTTGGAGTGACCAAGTGCATTTGTCCCAGTGGAGACCTCCAGAAGATACTGTTAATCTCTGTTTTTGGTTAAAATATTAATTGGTACCGTGTTTCCTTGTTTAGACCCGTGAGGAATGGCAGAATGTGTTCCTCATAGCTGCCCTGGTGCACTACAGTGGCGTGATCTTCTATGGGGTCTTTGCTTCTGGGGAGAAACAGGAGTGGGCTGACCCTGAGAACCTTTCTGAGGAGAAGTGCGGAATCATTGACAGCGATGAATTAGCCGAGGAGATAGAACTCAATCATGAGAGTTTCACAAGTCCCAAAAAGAAGATGTCGTATGGAGCCACCACCCAGAATTGTGAAGCCCAGAGGAAGGAATGGAGCGGACAGAGAGGAGTGACTCTTGGTGAGGAAGAGCCGGCATCCTACCAGAATGAAGACGGAAACTTCTCAGATACATCCTAATGTCTGAGGGGCACTTCCAGCTCCTCCTCACTTTAGAACCAGAAAGTATCCATACCTATTGCTTTCTGTTGCCAGAGGGTCAACTCTAGGGACACTGGTTGTGGGGGAGGGGAGAGGAGGTTTACCTAGCAATAGAGAAAAGATAGATATTTTCTTGCAATGACAACCTGCTCTAAGTTGATAAAATGGGTGGCTATAATGTTTTTGATTGGCAGTTGACTCTTCTCTCTAAGAACTAAACTTATTCAGGAAAGAATGACTAGAAATATAAGAAAGACAATACCATGTTTTTCAAAGAAAAATGGAAGGAAATGGGAATATTTGGCCTGGAGGAGAGAAAACAATAGTTGCCACTACATTTCTGAGAGCAGCCATGCAGAGGAGGGTTTCCTACTCCTAATAAAGGCCACGGCTTACAAAGGCCCTGTATTGTGCCAGGTACTTTATAACATTCTCATTTAATCTCCACACCCCTATGACATACATTTTTTTTTTTTTTTTTGCGGTACACGGGCCTCTCACTGTCGTTGCCTCTCCCGTTGCGGAGCACAGGCTCCGGACGCGCAGGCCCAGCGGCTATGGCTCAGGGGCCCAGCCGCTCCGTGGCATGTGGGATCTTCCCGGGCCGGGGCACAAACCCGCGTCCCCGGCATCGGCAGGCGGACTCTCAACCACGGCGCCACCAGGGAAGCCCTGACATACATTTTTTATCCCCATTTTACAACTAAGGAAATGAAAGCAACAGGAGATTGACTTGCCCAAGGTCATTCTGCCAGGGACAGTGCTGAGGTTGGTGGAATCCAAAGTAGGTGGCAGTTTTGGAGAAGAACGTTTCACTTCAGATTAGAGAAGACATTTTTAATAATGAAAACTGAAAATGGAGTGGGTTGTCATGTGGATGATTCCCTATTTTGGCAGGCATGGGGTATGGAAAACATTTGGGTTGATGTGGCAGAGAGCATTCAAATATTGTGTGAGAGACTGGATTCAAAGACCTTTGGGGTCCTAGGTGGTCTGAAGAGCCAAATGATTCTATGAATCCATAGTTCAAATAGGTTAAGCAAAGAAAAATAAAAAGCTAAGCAACACAGCAAATTTCCAGGAATCTGATGGTCAGAATGGCTGAGAAGAACTAAATTTCAACCCTTCATAATATCAAGAATGTGGTTAAATAACGTCCCAAATTACTTGTAAATCTTTAAGACGTTTACTAATTTAAGAAGTTGGTTCATGCATTTTATTAGGTAAAATTCTCTTAGAAGAGTCCTCTGTTTTAAAAAATGTATGTCTTTAGCCATTTCTGCTGGTGATATTAGGAAATTTGATCAAATTATACAAAATTATGATTGAAGTATTCCTAATGACTCTACTTGGAATGATATTCAGTGAAACCACAGTAATACAGCATGAATTAAACAGTGAACTACTACAATGTAAACATCTGGGACAACTAGACCCATAGTGTTGAAAAATTAATCTTTGCATAGGCAATAACATGGATACTCTCTAAATATATTTTAAAATTTAATCATATTTTAAAACTTAATGTTGGCATGTAAAAGGTTGTTTGCAAATAAAATTATTTCCCTGTTCATTGTTTTTGAAAATTTTATTTCTGCTTTCAGAAGAAAAATATAATATTGCAGGAAAAATTATAGATTTACTTGTAGTTTGTTATTGTAAAGTGGGTTTTTTTCTCCTAATTTCTCTCATATATATATATTTCTGGTCCCTAACTGTATCAGCAGAATTGTAGTGTATTTTATAAAAAGAATAATTTTGAAAAAAAGCCTGATTTTCCATTAAATAGTATTATTTATGTCATCAGTATATCATTTATGTTATATATCTTTAAATCTCTTTAATGAGTGAATCCATGTAAGTTCCTTTGAACAGTTCCTGTCATGTAGAAAATGCTCAATAAACATTAGTTATTATCATCATTATTATCTTTTAACCTTTTTGGGACCCTTGCAGTTGAAAAGAAAGCATGCTATGTCATTTTCACCCATTAGTCACAGGATTTATTGTAAAAGTCATGTTGTTTCCTAAGTAAAAAAAAAAAAAAATTGAGAAATTTATGGTAGTCAGTGTTTTATTTTTTCTTCTGTTAATGAAGTCAAATAACTATTTTAAAAACTCATGGTAATTCTTAAGGTAATGTTGTAGATTGTGACACAAAGTTATATTTACTCCATATTTGACATCAAGGTCATATGTAGAAATTCCACATTTCGATAAATCAAAGCACTTTTGACAGGGTGCCTGTCACTTGCCCTTATAGTATTAAAAAAATGGGATCCATGGTGTTGAAAACTATAAAACACATTATTTTGTTGTGATGGGTTTCGTGAAGGTTGCAGTGAACAGATAATTACATTTGAACATCAGGCATATGTACTCTGCAAGTTATTGTACATTTGGCTTGCAAATATCCATTTGTAGATCAGCTCTTAGAGGCAAACCATGGATTCTAGCAAGAAGGGAAGGAAGCCTGAGGATGCTGGATTCTTGAGACAAGGAAGTTTCATCCTTTTTAAAGAATAAAAAAAAAGAACAGGAACATGTTTTGGAACATGAACATAACAAGAAAAATAGTAATTATTCAAGAAATAATGACACATTTGTTATCCCTGCCTGGGTGTTAAATTCAACAGGTAAAAATTGGAATCTACTATCTCTATTTCACACTGACTCCTTCTGAGCCCAACAAACCTAGCCTTCCGTCCCTGTTTCTTATCTCAGTTAATCACATCACCCTTTTGCTGGAGCTAGAAATCTTGGAGTAACCTCTGACTTTTAAAAAAGTAGCCCTTTCTCTCTTCCCTGCCAAGTTCATTTAATTTTATTTTCAGTCTGGGGCTCCATGTCTTACACCAGTTTTGGAAAATTTTCAGCCATTCTCTCTTATTACACTGCTTTTCTCCCTTCTCTCTCTATGCTTTTCCTGAGAGTCCAGTTAAATGGGTGCTGGACTGTGGGTAGGACTCTGACCATCTCCTCTGTATTTTCCAGCCTTTTGCCTCTGTCTTTGTTATTCTGGAGGTCTTCTGACTCATTTTTTAAGTCCTATATTTCTCTCTTTAGCAAGGTTTAGTCTGGTAAAAATCCATAACTTAATTTCAGTTATTGTTGTTTTAGTTCTAGGACTTTTAGTGCTTCTTTTTCAATTCTGCTATGTCTTTAAAAAAATATTTCCAGCTCTCTGCTGAGATTTTCAATCCTGTATTTTATTTCCTGTAACACAAGAAGATAATTATTTTAAAGCCTGATCAGTGCCAATATCCGGAGACCATGTAATTCTGTATCTATTTCCTACTGGTTTTGCTGATTCTTATTCACATTCTCTCAGTCTGTGCCTGGCTTTCTTTGATTGTATCCAAAATCGTATTTGAAGATTTGTTTGTAGAAATGATTTTAGGCTTAAAAAAATGTGGGTTTTTTTCCTCTCCAGAAATGATTTTTGTTTGATTTTTCCAGGAGCCTGAAGGCATTAGCATTCTGGGATCTCTTTAATCCAATTGAAAGGGCAGAGATATTCTGGGCCACCCAGATGATGTGGGAGATCTGAACTAAGCTGTAGGGAGCAAATCGTGTATGGAAGGGATATGTGGGCCCCTTCCAGGAGAAACCACAAAGATTTATATCTTTATCAGAATTGATAATCATTAGAATACAATAGATTCTGGCCTGATTCAAACTTGGCATTAATAGCCACATGGACCAATTTGAAGGGCTAGGGAAGCTGAACTTTTCTTTGCATTTCATTTATTACTGGGTCCTGGGCCTTATGCTAAGCCCTTTCCATGCATATCTCATTTAATTTTCATGGGAACTCAATGAGGAAAGTTCAACTATTTATTCCCAAGTATTTATTAATAAATAAATGGTGTTTAAGAGCAGAAGTTAAACTCAAGACTCTAATGGCTGTATTTTAATCTTAATTCTTTTTAAAAAATCGAAGTATATTAATTTACAATATTATATTAATCAACTCAATTAAATATTAATCTTAATTCTTAATTTTTAATCTGTTCTCCACCTCTTTTCCTGGCTGCAGTAAATTCCAGACAATGGTAATTCTCAAAGTCAGGAGAATGTCCCAGGAATTTCAGTAAGGTGTGAGCGAACTGATGGGATGAGCTCTGGCAGTTTAGTCCAGACCCCAGCACGGGGACAGGTGAAAAACCAGATGAACAGCTGAGATCCTTCTCACCAACGGCTGGCCTGGAGTAAGATGTAAGAACCAGGGGCCTCTATATTTTCCCTGGCTACCCAGATAGTAAGATAGGAAGGCTGAACCTAATGCTTAGTGTGTGTGTGTGTGTGTGTGTGTGTGTGTGTGTGTGTGTGTGTGTGTGTGTTGGGGAGTTACAGGGGTGTTACCAGAGGACTAAATCTCTCCGAGGCATCCCAGGAATGGAAACATAAACACTGTCCAGAATCTCAGTATATGCCCTGCACAGAATAGATGCTCAATGGATATATTCTTCAAAATCTGATGTGTTTAAGGAAGATTACACTGGAGGTGATGCTCAGGTTGGCTGATTAAACATGGCAGATTAATGTAGGTAGTTACCTACTTTCTAAGATTATAATAAAGGAATGAAAGAGCACATAAACTTTCCAGTACAAAGAGAAAGGAGGAGAAAATCACATTTAGGAAGCTGAATGAGGATACCTGAGCCTTAACTGACTTCAGCAGAACCAAGTGAAAAAAGAAGGAATCTGTTTTTGTGTTACTACCCCTGGGGAAGCTGCAAAATTGAAGGCACCAGGGCCAGGTACCTCTGGAGGACAGAGAGTGGATAGAATGACATTTGAGGAGCGGGGTGGGGGGGGCACTGAAAACACAAGGACTGGCTGAAAGTTAGAATTGCCTGATTTAGCAACCCTACTGAAAGTGCATGGAAGGAGTAGTTATAACTCCAGAGCTCAACCAAGAAACTGCCCCTCCCCACACCTAGTGGAAAACAGGAGCTTTATTTTCTGGACAGGGC